CATCAAATTATGGGAGTTTTTATATTTTAGTATTATACATACTCAGTATTTGCTTAGAAATTAAAACATTGTAAAAAACTAATAAAATATAATAGATGATATTCTTACATTTAAGTTTTATAACTGATCAACTTTTTCTAATATTAAAATTAACACAACAAAATTGGTTCAACTAAAAGCAAATTTTCTATATGATACATTTGTAAGATAAAAACAACTTAATCTGTGGATGTAGAAAATAATATTCTTAAATATGTTTTATACCTAAGTTCAAATATGAATAAATAGTTTTCGAGTTATTAACCTCTGTAAAACAAAGATAATAATTAATGATAATACGTTTTTAAGATATAATGATTTAAAAATTATATTAATTAATACTTATATTAGTATTTTATAATTGTATAATAACTAATTAATGAGTATTGAACAACTAAATATTAGGCCATGTAATTTTTTATAATTTATGTATAACTATTATTAAAAATTATTTTTATATATGCCATAGAATACCCCTTAAATTATATTTGGAAATATGGTACTAATATAATTAAAAATTCTACAAGTAAAAAATTGAATGCATTATTAAAGAATAAAAAGAGAGATTGACATGTTTGGTTAATCACTTAGCATATTCATAAAATTAATAAAAAAATCAAATAAAAATTATAATAACCTGTATGCCAATGATTAAATGCCAAACAAACAACAACGTAAACATCTGGTTCTAACATCTTGTGTGAGCTAACAAATCCACGGACTTGACGTTTACTGTGTTCAACAAGACGACCAATGCATACAGATTTTTCAGATGTAACTTCTCTACTTCTCATTACTGCTACACACAAATCGAGTTGACTTCTATTACATTTTTCTGATTTCCTAAAAACATAATATATATAACATTAGTTAATATCTTTGATTTTTTTGATTTTTAAACAAAAATCAATTTACCTTTGTCCTTCTTGAAAAAGTGTAAATTCTGCTTCGGTGGGTTCTGAAACTGTGAGGACTACACATGATAAGTGATCAGTTGAAGATAACGGTGGCAAATAGCCTTTAAGCCTTACTTCATTCCACATATTATTTCTTACTTTACATATATCAATACAATCAAAATACCTAAAATATAATCAACATATTTAATTAAAAAAAAAAAAAAAACAATTATTTATTATTTTTAATTATTACCTTAAAACATCATCATATGATATCCAAAATACTCCTTCACAACACCCATCTGGCATTAACATTGTTTTTAATTTATCTGACCACCTGTCAGAATCATCAGACCAATCACCATTCCACGAGAAGTGTCCCCAAGGATTTCTAAGCTTCAACAATCGATGATTATCAATATCTCGAACATCCAATACAGAATAGGCATGTCTTGGTCTAAGTCCTTTATTTTGGTAAGCTTCTTCATCAACTTTCATGTTACCTCCTCCACAAGATGCTCCCATTAAGAAACCAGCAAGGCGAGAACTTAATAATTGTGCCCATATCAAGTCACGATCTAGTTCGTCTTCAGTTGGAACTGATGATGGTTGTAATGGCACACTTTCACAAGGTGCTCCTGTTAACGTAGCAAGTCCTTCAATTGCTCTACCAGATACAAGTGCTTCATAGCAACCATGGAGTTTAGCTATTGCTTTTTCTATCAAGGGAACCCATAATTGTTTACGTTTTGCCTGTTGAATAATTTATTATTATTTCAATATCAAGAGTAAAAAATTATTGTACAAACCTGACTATATACTAAATTTCCCCTGTGGTCACATGGTAATAAATCATCAACAAGAACTGTGGTCCATTTACCATCTTTACAAAGTCGAACTTGGTATGCACCTTGTTCACAATAATCTTTGGTAACCATAACATGTCTAACTAAGTCTTCACGTTCTGCCAAGACTGTTAAAGCACTTAACAACCAACAATTACCCAAAACACCTAAATTAATAAACATTATCGATTAATACTAAGCATATAAAATTATAATTTTAATTAAACTAATATTTTCAAGCTTAATAAATTTTACCTATTTTTTTAAACAGTTTAAAAATAAGATAATACTCTAAAATTATACATTTTTGTAATGTATTTTATTTTATATTTACCTTGAATTATATCTGAAGGTTTTGGTTTTCTAAATACAGTCCAGCATGATTCTTTATCTAATTCTGAACAGATGATTGATTCAGGTCTTAACCATTGTGTTACTCGACAGCTCTCTTGTTTTTCTGTATAATATAAAGATTTGGCAGTTGGAGGAAAAGAATCATCAACAAATTCTTGACTGTTCTATAATGTTAAAAATAAACTTTTATAGTATTAAAATTGATGGCAGTTAGATGATTATATAATCATAAAACTTTTAACAGAAGTTTCTGATATTTAGTAGGTTAATATTGAAATTAAATATGAATAAACTTATTAACTGTCTAAAATGTTAACTACTGTAAAGCATTAACTAGCATTAATAGAAATTAGAAATATTGTGTTATTTAATAATAAAAATTTAATTTAATATGCTAATTATTATGTACTTTAATATTAAACTTTTATATAATATTAGGTACACATTAATTATTTTTATGAATTTTAAAGTTATAAAATGAATGTGTAAGGAAATAAATATAATGAAAATGTTGTACCTTATAGTAATAAAATTTATTTTAAAAATATATAAGTACTTTACTTCAAAACCTTATAATAATAGTATTTTTTAATTTGTAATTAGTTTTGTTACTACTTTTAATTGATTAAAATAGACATAAAAATTTGATTTTAAAATGTTAAAAGCATGATACATTTTTATATAATAATATAGAAATAGAATAAGATATGATAAAAAAAATCTATTTACTTCGATACAAAATAGCACTATTTCATTCCATTTTTCTCGTGCTTCTTGCTCTTCAATCCTTCTCAAGTTTTCCATTAATTCACTTTGTTTTTTTGGATGATTTGATATTAATATAGAAGAATAATATTCTGGTTCAAGATGTTTGTGACACATTGCACATCTTTTAGCATTTGGCTCATTTTCAAATGTACAAGTTGGACACTGACTATCTGAACGCCTTTTTTTATTTGCACGTTTGTCTGTCTTACAAGCTTTACATACTAGTGCTGATATTTTATTTTTCAATGTGCACTTATCACATGTCCAATACTCCCGTAATGTTCCATCATCGGGGCAAAGACTTTTAGCTTTTGATCCACCACAAGCATTGCAAACTGTTGTATTAGGATCATTAAGTAGGGTACAACGTTTACATGGCCATTTTTTCTTGGGAGGTGTATAGCGTACACAGTCACGCATTACTGTTATAGCATTCCAACCACATGATTCACAGGAGTCTGACCAAAATGGATTTAAAGTAAAAGAACATTTTTCACAAGTCCAATTACTGGTAGATTTTTTTTCTAAGTCTACAACATATTAATATTACACATTATTAATGATTAGAATAGATGATATTTAAACATGGATATTTACCGTTTGGCATATTAATGGTAATAGGGGCAATTTCATTTTTTTGACCTTTAGTTCTTCTAAATGAATCACAGTTTTTACATTGCTGAGTTGAACAGTTTCTAATTCTACAGGTATTACATAACCAAGGATCATTTTCTGTTGTAAGTAGTGTTGAACTCTTTGATGGTCTAACAGACATATGCAAATGATACTCAAATCCATTCCATGATTTACGTCGTTGTAAAATAACAGACTTAAATTGAAGCTTAACTACACATGGTTTAGGGTCAATATTGGTTGGATCTCTGTGAATTTGAATAAAATATAAATTTAAATTCATAAAATACAGAAATTATCTTACGCATCATCAAGTCTTAAGGCTCCAGCAGCAATTTCTGCCTCAGCGCATAGAATATCGGTGACATAAGGTGTAGGACATCCATGAATGGTCCGTGTTTTGAGTTGATCAACTTTTTTCTTACAGTCATAACTCCTATGTACATTACATCGAATACAAGTCACTCGATCTGTGGGATTTATCAGTGAACAAGAACTACAATGCCATTGAAGGACCGAAGCAATCGATCCCATGTCAACAACTGTAAAATAATTATAAAAAAAAATAACAAAACAAATGTTAACACAATTAATTGAATAATTACTAATAATAAAATAGACATGGTATTTTAACTCACTATAAACATCACATTTAAATACATTTGTAGAACGATTCCGTTCTATGAATCAAAATTTCGAGTAAAATTGTTTAGTTTCATGTTTGAAATTAGAAGAATAGTAGTCACTGGTCAGTATAAAATAAATCATTAAATTTTGAAACTCTTAGCCATTATCAAAACAGCTGTTTATGGTGTTTATTTATTGATATTTGATATTATCAAATATGCCCGCGATTTACACAGGGCAACCAAATTTTGAATACGGATTAACGTGTTCGTGTATAAAGCAACCTCGCATTACTAACAGTTGCTAACATGGGAGTTTTACGAACGTTTTTTTTCCCGCGAAATGATCGTTTTACGTTATATAACGTTTCAAAATGGAATAGGTATTTAAACCCACTCATAAATTCGTTCATTCAACTTTACACAATAGTCTATGCCCGGCCATCAGTACTTATAAACATTACCTAGTTAAAATAATATGTATCAGTGCAATATTATGTTTTCGTTAAAAATATTATTACACTTTTATAGAATATGATAATAAATTAAGTTACGCGGTTCGAGTAAAAACTAAAAAAAAAAACAGATTTATATAACCATTGATCACATGACATATAATACTTTATCCTTCAGGTTAACATCAGATAAATTGTATAGATGACGACATGTTGGCGTTCAAATACTTCAAATATTATACAGTGTACCTATCGGATGTCTTTTAGAACTGTATATACATAATGAAGCCATATATTACCTACATATCTACATAGGTACCTATTTCCAATTTCTCTTCGTTATTGGTATTGATTTCAATGCCATAAGTTTTTAAATTTATACATCACTCTTCTATTAAACAGTAAAAATAAATTACAAATGATGGCCGTTGCAAACATATTAAAAGCATCGCTAATTGTCAGTTGTGTAGTATTAATATTGTTCTTTATTATGTCATTCAAACAGTTTAACACAGACCAAGATAAATTTGAAAAATTCATTAAAAAATATAATAAGAGTTACGAGAATGGGACAGAACATAGTGAAAGATTCAAACAATTTAAGGTGAGACAGTATATAGGTATTTATTTTTTGCATTATGTACTTAAGTAGTAAGTAGGTATTACTTATTAAGTTATAAAAAATGTAATATATTATTAAAATTTAATACCTAGATAGAGTTATGTAAATAATCACTAAAAATTTAATGGATCAATAGGTAGCGAACTAATAGTCCTTTAAATATTATTTTTTTATAGAATTTTAATAATAGTTACGAACAATTTAAGTACCTTTATTAAGGTTCATTATATTAAACAACTATATGCAATAATATATTTCTATTGAGAGAGTTAAGACTATATTTCTAAAAAGTATTTTAAAACAACTAGATTATAAAATACTTTTATAAAACGTACGCAATTTATTTATTTTTAATTATTTTCCTAGGAGTCTTTGAAAACTATTCAACTTCTAAGACAGAGTTGTAATGGATGTACCAATTATGGAATTACTGAATTCTCAGATTTATCTCCGGATGAATTCACTAAAACATATCTCAATTCAATCACTTTAAGGACACCACAAACAGAAACTTTTAGTATGGCAAGATCTAAGCGATCTATTACAACAACAGCCTTATCAAATATTGACTGGTAAATAGAAATATCAAATTTTTAAAAGTTTTTGACTTCATAATAAGACCTAGTCATTTTTCATAAATAACTGTTTTAGGTTATCGATGATTTTTAACATAAATTCTTAACTCATTTATTTATTTAATTATAATCATTTTTTTTTTTTAACTACGTAAATTATATTTTATTATTTTAATTTATTTTACCAACACGGTGGTCTTAAATAAATATAACTATATAGAATTGAATTTTAAGTTAAATAATTATTTTAGTTATCAACTAAAACTATTTTGTATAGAATCTATACAAAAACCAGTACATATTTTTACTTTTCATATTTATATCATAAAAATTATTTAAATTAAAATTTTAATAATTATAAATGAATTATTCATTCACAGTTAAATATATTTTTCATAACTTAATATAATTTATACATAAATCCTAGTGTTACGATTTCATGAAAAACAATAAAAATGATAAAAAGCTCTCATTATAGCGATTTAGGGGATGGGGACAAGAGGGTTTTGTTTCGTGTGGCAGTTATTTGAAGACAAAACAGTGAAAAAGTGTAGTTTTTTTTAATTAACTGTCAGTTTTAGTAAGTCTTATTAATTATTAAAAATATACATATACATAACAATAGCGGTGCATATGCTGTAGTAATAATATTCGTCAATATATTGTGTTAAGGTGCTCACTTCAGCGACTTTAGAATATCGTAAAAATTTATAGCACTTGGGTCTTGGACCAATACGTACTAGTGTTTAAATTCGTTTTCTTTTCTACTATACCAATATATATTCTGATACAAATCAGTGTATTCGATTTTGAGCGAAGCTATAAATGTATTGATTTTATAATGATTTGTGATTTACTTTTGAGGTAGAAAAAATGTTCTAATTTTAAAATTAAGAAGATGGGAGGTTTGAAAGAAAATTGAATATAGGTGGTATTTTGGGATAGTCGAAATAATTTAACATGTATATAATATAATAAAACAAAAATATGGAGAAAATTGTATGTAGGTACCTATAGTTGTTGGTTTACGAATTACAACAAACCAGTAAAAATAATGTGAAGAGAAATAATTATTTTACGGATTATAAATACAATATCGATAAAATTTATAATCTCAAAAAGAGATTTTTATTATTTTATAGACATGATACATTTTTCATAATAAGTTGAATACTTTAGAGCTATTTCGTATTTATAGAAATTCAAAATTTGAATTTTTTTTTTTAAATTTAAATCTGAATTAAAAAAAAAGGTATATAGAGATAAACATACTTGAAAATTTAATGTAAGGTTCTTCATAATTAATTTAACTTACTATAATACTAAAAATGAAATAAATGACTTTAATAGCTATATCAAAAAAACATATCATAAATTATATTTATAGTGATAAGGGTTAAAAAGGCCATCTTCGTTTATAGAACTGTTTTTAAATATAATAACGTATCATTGAATTCAAAATTGAACTCATTTTTACAATTTACAGTGAACAACTCGACACCTAATGTACATAAAATATGTCTATGTATGAATATATATTTATTCAAAAATTAAAATAATGTTATCTATTATGATGAGGTAGAAGGATAGTCAAGGGTGATATTTTAAATTCTTTCCTTCGATAAAATGCTCTTTAATAAGGTACTAGGTATGCTCCCGGAATCATTGGATAATTGCTTCATCAAAACTTCGTCTGTATTTACACTACTATTAAACTCATTGATAATGTACAAAATAAACAATAGTCTTCTTAACTAATCATTAAGTCGTTAATATCATATTATTTTAGATATGGTAATGCTGGTTTATTATATAATTTTTCTATAATTTAATATATTTTTATAATTACACCCTGTTATCAATATAATTTACCAAAATAATAATTTTGATGTAACTTTATTTATTTTTTTCTTAAAGGAGAGATAAAGGAGTGGTGACTCCTGTTCGAAATCAAAAAAATTGTGGAGCGTGTTGGGCAATTAGCGTGATAGAATTGATTGAATCTGTTTATGCCATTAAAACAGGATCGTTACAAACATTTAGTGTACAAGAAGTGGGTAATTTAAATGGTTGTTTTTCGTATTGGTCTAATTATTATAATTATCGATTTCGATTTTTGTAAAAAAACTAATTTTGTTATGGTAAAAATGTAATAGATTTCGAATTATAAATAGATAGAAAATACATAAACAAGTGGTTTTAAAATGTTATATTACCCAAGAATTTGTTTATGATGAAATTATTGTTGTTATATTATTATTTATAGTTAAGTTTTTGAATTTGCATATTTTTACAAATTTTGGTACATTTGATAAATTTAAGTATTTTGAACAATTATTGATTTCATATTAGTTCATATTTTCATAGATAGATGCTTACATGTAGCAACCAGCAAGTATATCTACATTTATGTTTTCTTTTTTTTTCCTCTGTAATAAATTTTAATTACATATCTTAGGTCATTGTTTGGTAATTTTAATTGAATATTTCAAACCTTTTTAGTGTCATAAGTCTGAATGGACTGAATTCTATTTATAGTATATAATTATTAAATTATAATATTCACTGGAGTAAATAAAAATCGTTATAAAGTAACACTTCCATTTTGAAAAATGTATAAAGTCGAAGTATATATTTTTATTTCTATCAAACCCATATAACATTTTAATTTATATACATATGAGACTAAGTTATTGTGTTTTATACTTTCCAAATTATTTTGAAGAATTATATTAACTAAATTTATTATATTATCATATTAGATGTTAGATTGTTCGGGAGGAATAAATCAAGGATGTACTGGTGGAAGTACAGTATTTTTACTTTTATGGTTAGTGGAAAATAACATATCTGTATTTAAAGAAGAAAATTATCCAACTGTATACAAAGATCAGATGTGTACTCTTGATAAGTGCGTTAGTAAGATTAAATAAATGAATAATTTAAAAATTTATCTCAATGAAACATATTTTATTACAGAACCATTGATAAAGGAGTTAAAGTAAAATCATTTTTAACACTCAAGTAAGCTATTATAATTATATACAAAATTAATTTGACTCTATAAAATAATTATTACACTGCGATATTTAATTTATAAGATATATTTAACGATTTAGCTTAATGGATCGTGAAGATCTATTGTTATCCTATTTATCAAAAAGCCCAGTTTCTGTAGCTCTTAATGCATTGCCGTGGCAGTTTTACGTGGGTGGTGTACTCAGCCAATGTGATAACAGTATGACTTCGTTAAATCATGCAGCAGAAATAGTTGGGTACAAGCTTGGAGAAAACCCTTATTATATTTTGAAAAATTCTTGGGGAACTAATTTTGGCAATGATGGATATATATATGTAGCAATTGGAAACAATGAATGCGGTGAGTTATTTTAAATACGTAGATGTTACCTATAATAATAAGTTTCATAATAATATTATATAATTTAAAATATAATAGTATACTCTTTATGAAATATTTCAGTAGAAATTTTATACTTAATATGTATTTTTAATAGTGGTAGTACTCTGCAGGGTACATGCATAGGTACTATATTGTGATACTTTATTAAATAAAAATTATCGCTTAAAAAACTAAATTACTCACATAAATATATTTTATATAAATCAAACATTTTAAATGTTTAAATAAATATATTTAAATAATTGGTCTGTAATAGCATCAACAGTATAGTCAGTACAGACTATTGATGTTTAATCTTTAATATTAAGAAAAAAAACTATATTGAATATTAATAGCTTAATATCTATTACATACGCATATACGCATTTGATAATGTAACACTCAAATGATGCCATTATTAACCTCTATAGACGTGTATTATTAATAAATTATTAAAAAAAAAAAAATAAAGAAAAAGAAAAAATGAAAAAAAAAAATGAAGTTAAAAACAATTAATGTATATTTGATGCATATTAACATGGGTTTTTCTAATTTCAGTAATATAAAATTAAAAAAATATATTTATACCTATTGTCAAAATTAATTATTAAGAGTAATTAACAAAAAACAGTTATTTTTAATATTTAATGTATCTATTTAATATTGTAAAATACTCATGTATTTAAAAACATTTTCAGGAATTGGATGGGAAGTTGATGTGGTTACAAACGTTGAGTAGCTGCAATATCAGTTGTTATACAAATCACTAATGCATGACAATGTATTTTATTATAATTTTCTAAAATATTAAATAATTTATCAAATTAAAATAAGTATCTGTTGAATATTTTACATCATGGTCCACTAAATATATATTATACCTGGATAATTTATTGCAACTTATATTGTTAATAAATTCTAAATTGTTCTTATTTATTGTACAATAATTGGATGTTTCATAAATGTAAATAATACGTATTGTTATTTATACAATTATAAAATACGTATATTCCTAGTTAAAATGTATTGTAAGGTAATCATATTTAAAGAGTGCATGCATTTAGTTTATTCATACTATAGTAAGTATTGATATTAAGAGAAATCATTAAAAATATGTTTTTAAAAATGGTATGTTTCATTGTATTTTTAACTGTTTCTAAAATACATTTTTCAAAATCGAAAGATGTTACAAATGCAGTGTCATTTGAAAGACTAGAAATACAAACAAAAAAAGATAGTAAGTATATTATCGTTATATTTTATAGTAGCAGTACATAATCATGAATATTTGTATTTTATAAACATACATTTACAATAAGTTGTAGAAATAATACAAATAAGATCCTATTATACTATCTACCGAGGCAATTTTTATATTGTAATCTATTAATCTATAAATTATATCCTAAAATATATTTTTGATAATTTTTGAATATTTCAGAACCATCTCATGAAAGTGAATGGATAGAAGAATGTAAATGTGTTATGATATCTGAATGTATATCTGATAAAAATGATGCATCAATTATAGATATTAGAATAATCACAGTAGGTATTATATTAATATATATCGTTAAAAAAAATTGTATAATTTTGGTTCTTGATAAAACTTTATGAAATACCTATTAAGAAACCAGATAAATGTCCACCTGGAAAAATCTATTGTTGTTCTGACCAATCGTTGGAAAATCCTTTAATAATGTGCGGAGAGGTGAAATCACTAGATATTGATGGGATAAAAATCCACCCGGATCAGGTAAGAATGTAGAAGACTATAGTTTAATTTAACTTTAAGAAGAAATAACATTTATAAAGTTTATAATTTATTCATAAGTGTTTCAAATAAGAAATTAATAAAGTGCTAAAAAATTAATATATCCATAAACATTTAGTACTATACAACAAAATATTTAAACTATTCTTTATATTTGAAAATAAGAACGAACTAATTCAAAATGTTACTAAATGTAAAATAGAAAGAAATAGCAAATAGGTTTTTACAGTTAAAATGTAACTAAAAAATATTGTACGAAAATTGATAAAGATTATAAAGATTAACTGTATACAATTTTTTTGTCAAATATTTAATGATGATAGATATAATGCATTGTCTCTCTACATTTTTATATAATCATTAAAAGAACTTTGCCGGTTTTTTTTTTTTAAATCAATTATAACGAATATTTAGAGGGAAAAATGTTTAAAAAGTTTACGGGATTGTATTAGAATGTTCGACACACTGTCGTTCTACATTTTTATATAATGATTAATATGATGATTTTTCGAAAATTTTAGAACAATAGACCCCGAAAAACCGTTTTTTTTTTTTTTTTACAAATCACGTTTTCCAGGATATTATGTTGAAGGAATAAGTTTTGAATTTTTGAAACTTTATATCTACCATCAGATACGTTTTAAATTTTATAATTTTATTAAATAATTATAGGTATAAATTAATGTTATTTATATAATTTATTTTTATTACAGGCTAAATTTGGTGAATTTCCATGGCAAGCTTTAATTTTAACAACTGAAAATTCATTTGTCTCAAATGGAGCTTTAATAGACAATAAACATATTCTTTCTACTGCTCACTTTTTGACTAGTTTCTCTAAGTAATTAATTAAACATTTAATATTTTTTATATACAACTAATAATTTGCATTTGTTTTTAATATCTACAATTCAATAATTCAATATAAAATATTTGTTATGATATGTAATTCATAGATTTTGATTCATTTTCCTTCTCCTCGGTGCCATTTCTAAATGAGACATCCAACTACATTTTATTTTTTCTTATAAGTTTAAAATTTGTTTAATTTATAATTTTCTTTACAATTATCACATATCATGTTTATAATAGAGTTATAAAGTATGATAAAACTAGTTATGTTCAAAAAAGACTGAGTACTAGTGAAAAGGTACTATTCAGTGATGGAATTTCGAACATGGTGTGAGGTGTGTTGTCAATCAATAGGTCTTGAAGCCAAGTTGATTTTAGACACCTTCTGGGGGTCACCAATATAATGGAAACGGAAAGTTGTGAGATTAGAGAGTTGCGATGGTTTTGGAGATTTGAGTGTAGGCTTTTGTAGAATGTAATGACAACGTTTTGCACTATTAGAGTAAAGGTATTATCATAAAATGTATTATTTGAGACATAGTTTGGGGCTTAAGCGATTTGACGAAAGCATTTGAATATGATGATGGATAGGGTGGAAATCGCTTGTCGGAGTGTGAACACAGTCGTCAGTTAGATTTGTATTTGTATTTTTTTTTCATATCAGATCAGATAAGTGGTTTTAAACAAAGTTTGAGACCTTTTCAGTATTGGAAGAATTAAATGAGTGTCTTTTCATCGTCAAAGTTCCAAAAAGGTTTTCAAAGAACAGTGGATAGGTTAGAAGTAAATATTTTATAAATACGCGTAGAAATGATGGCGAGATTACCACTCCTTTAAATACTTAATCATCGCAAATCGGTGATATTTTGGATGGAGAGAATCCCGAACGCGTAGCGTAAAAATAAATATTATATATATATTATAAAATCTAAAAAACGATTTTGATAGTCAGTAATAACATAAAAACATATCTTTTTGGTCGTGTGCATTGCAGGAACTTCAGTACTCTGAAAGTGCGGTTAGGCGACTGGGACATCTACAGAGACATAGAGCCTCAGCCGCACGTCGAAAGGCCCGTGGCCAGCATTACGATCCACCCAGAGTATTCAGCTTCCAACATGCATAACGACATCGCAGTGATTACATTGTCGGGCGCTCCGGTATTTTCCACAGGCCACGTGAGTCCGGTGTGTTTGCCGCCAAGACTGCCGGCAGATCAGTGGACCAGTTGCCGGGTATCCGGTTGGGGTACGGAGAGATTCGACCACCCGCGGTATCCGGGCGTGCTCAAGAAGGTGCCGGTGCCGCTGTGGGATCGTCAACGGTGCGTCGAGAGCCTGAGAACCACAAGGTTGGGTGCCGCGTTCAAGTTGCACTCGGGATTCTTGTGCGCGGGTGGCGAGGAAAACGAGGACGCGTGCAAGGTGAACGAAAAACACATCGTTTAGAAATCGCATTAGAACGTGATATCACGATACGGGGGGGGGGGGGGGGTTAAGAATCCGAGTATTTGCGAACACTGTACTCATCAAATGTACACGTATGATTCCCCCCTCAAAAAAAAAAAAAATCGACGAATTCAGTTACCGATGAAATTGACTGTGTACGCGCGTCATCGATCAATTTATTAACTATTAAATCGATTGTTAAATTTACGATTGCCGCCGATCTGCAAGATTCATACTACGAGTTTAATAAACATTTAAACCATATGGCAGCATTTAAATACAATCACATTATTTTCGTCAAATCGATTCTTTAAACACAACAAATATTAATGCATTAAACGGGTAATCGATAAGGAAATATAAATTAATTTTTTTGAATTTTGGTGAATATTTGGTATTTTGAGTATAGTAGATATATTTTTAGTACACGTATAGTATAGGTATTAGTTATATATTAGATAATGTACATATTATACTCTAAAAAAATCCTTGAATACACGATAAATTCATTGTCCACGACTTTTTTTTTGTTTTGTTTCCTGTTCGTGATCTTAGATAATTTAAAAACGATTTTTCGGCATTTTGAACTATTGTTAATACCGTTTCGGCTAATATAGTGTTTTTCTCCGTTAATTTTGTTTGAATTTTCTTTTGTTTCTTCGCTAACCAAACACCTGGAATTTGATTTTCTAAACTTTATTTAAGTGTATGTTCAAGACGATTGTAAATTTATGAGAGATGCAAAAATGTTGTACTTATATCCGATTTTGCCTGGCCGTCTGGGAACCGAAATTTCTACTATCTACTGTGTAACATTATATTTTTACATATATCTAAGATTATTTTAATAATTAATATTATTTACTGGTGTGTTTTATGTAGGGTGACGGAGGTTCACCTTTAGTGTGTGAACATAATTCTGTTTCATATATTATTGGACTAGTATCTTGGGGAATTGGATGCGGAACTCCATCAATACCTGGTGTTTACATTGACGTCAGCACTTATATTACTTGGATTGAGAAACAGTTATGAAATGGAAAAATTCTATTATTTTTTAAATACATATTGTTTTAATTAATCCGGTATTAGCTAAGGTAAAAAACCAAGGTGTAGTTTATTTATGTTATTTCAACTTGATAATTTTAAAAATGTTTTAAAAATAACATTAATTAAATCGTTTATGTTACCTTTAGTCTATGTATCTTTCATTAATTTAATTTCCATCTTATCTAAATATTGACACTCATATTTATATTCACTGGATCTAATAATGATAAAAAAAAAAAAAAAATATGGAATCATCAAGTATCTTATACTATTACTTTGTGGAAAAAGGTATAATTTTTTTCATTAAATATAAAACTCGGGTTAGTGGTAGATGATATTAATGGTAATATATATTATCTAGAAAAAATGCATAATATAATTGTTTATACTGTATGTCCGTATAGAACTTGTAATGTATAATAATATTACAAAATAATATTTATTTTATTATATATTATAATTAGTTATTAGTTATTACTTACTATAATATAATCAAGGTATAAAGGTAAAACAAGGAATATAAAGTTATTGGAAAATAAAAAACAATTTTCTTAATTATAATTGTACAGTCTCAAATATAATTTATCTTTTCATTTAAATACAGTTTCTTTAAATTATTTCTTAAAAAGTGTCATTAACATTTACTTTTCTTGAATTGTCTTCATTGTAAACATGCCAATTTTTTCGATCACTGAGGTGTAAATTAAGTAATGGTTTTTTTATTATGTAAAACCATATTATACCTAAAATTGTAGTGATAACTACCTCGGCATAGAATCCATCGATTATGGTATTGCATTTACCACCAGCTGCTCGACAAGACTAGAGTAAATAAATCATATAATATTATTAAATTTTTAATTTAAATATTTAAATATAAATAATAATAGTATAATATTTTTTTAATATTTAAAAAAATATTTATATAATTTTAAACAATATATATTATTAAATAATATTCTAAAGGAAAATTAAATAATGTACAGAAATAGCTTAAAATATTAAATTTTTTACAACTACATAAATTCTAATAATTGATTAAAACCATTCAATAATTTATTTAAAATATTAATTTTAATTTTAAGTTTTTGTGATTTGTAGTATTTGCTTGGATATTTAAGTTTAAGTTAAGTATTTTTAAAATGTATCATCTATTATTTAGCAAGGAAATTATTTTTATTATTATAATTATTATTATTGTTTTGAAAAAGTAAAATAATTACTATTGCTTATTAATTATTATAATCAAATATAAACTCAACATAAGTTGTTTGATTATTATGGTTTTATGTGTGATAAAATAGAAATATATTTCGCGCGTACATTCTCGCTATAAAAAATATTTTACCAAAATAAACATAGTATATTGGGTAATTATTAAATAACGTATTATATAAATTATAAGGTAATAGGTATTACTAAAAAAAAAATTAGTTATGAATAAAAATAAAATATTATACATAAGGACAGATCATGTTTATTATAATCATTAACTTTTTGATTTGAAAAGTTGAATTTATTTTATCAATAATTACTTTGATCAATGTAGAAGCCGTACAATGGTTTTGAGAGTTGGTAGTACATTGTTTGAAGGTAAGAACGTCAACCAACCAAAGTGAACCTGTCTTCGTTATAGCTAAGCTAATGTTTGCAAAAGTGCATAGCAATGTCATGTAAATTCCACCAAAATTTGGATCACTTACTTTAGATACAAATGACAGGTAAATTACGTACATAATGAATGAATAAATCTAAAAGAATTAAATAAATAGTATTATAAATTAAAGTATTTTAATAATTTTCCATTAAAAAGGGCATTTAAAATTTTAAAATATTAGCTTGAGCAAATACATAGTATTAGGTTTTGAGCGGAGTGATGAATGTATTGATTTAAAAATGATTTTTATTTTTATTTTTAGGTGTAAAGATATACGATTTATTGTTAAAAAAATGATTCAATTTTGATGTTTAAGGTGGTTTTTGATAAAAAATTAAATCTAGTAGATTTCCAATATTTATAAACGATAAAAAATTAGGAATAGCGACAATTTTTTCGTAAAACTAGTTTTTGATAAAATCAATTTGGTTTTATTGATATACCTAACTTGAAAACGAATAAAACAAATTAACCATACGTAGATACATCATAATATTATCAAAATATTTTAACTCGTTTTTAGTTATTAGTAGACATTATCGACATTTTCAATTTTTTTAGTTTTAGTTCAATAAACGTCGATAAAAAATTATTCACGGAGTCAAAATTATTGAAAATTTAATGCAATCTCTCACATAAGTTGTTTTATTTCTTATTTCTGTATACAAGTATCAAAAATAATTATTACTTTATTTTATAAAAAAAGAAATTTTAAGTTAAAATTGGTTTAATACATGTTTAATCAACGAATAATGGTATTTATTATATTGTTATAATTTAATTTATTAAGAAATTCTTTGTGAAGACATACAACTTTCACGTGTATTATTATGTTTTGTACGTGGGTATGATGATATTTTAAATGTTTTTGGAAAAATTTTAACTTTCTGCATTACTGAAATAAATAATTATACCAAATAATAATTTATTTATATCAAAAACCTTAACATGAAATATAATTAGTAATAAAAGCTAATAGATTGTCTACTTAGAATCGTTTTTCGTATACCACATATATCATTGAATTTAAATTTAACACATTCATCACAGTAATTCACTTGACATTTACCATGCGGTACACACTTGTCAACCTTTTTTATATTAGATATTATAAACAATTCAGTGCGGACGATTATGAGTTGGTTCCTAATTGTCAAATTGGTTTCCGGGTTGTCTACAGGTAACATATGCGTTGGTTCCCGCGAGCTTCATGAAATACAACCTTGTTAAATTAACTTTCTCTAGAATACTAAGGTATGGTTAAAAATATTGCTCAATATAATAAATACATATTATTATATGCTAATGCTACATAGTACATACGTATTGATGAATAATAATATTTGTGCTTGTAATAAATAAAAATAATTAATGTTAGAATATAGGTATATACTAATATATTTTCCTTAAATCAATTATAACAATATAAATTATATAAATTATAAACAAATATATTTGGATAGGTGAAATAAAATCGTGAATTGAGTTTTTCAACAGTTTGTTTGTTATTGTTCTAAAATGGCTAAAAAATTTGCCCATATTTTTCTTTAAAAGTTTTGCTTAATGTTTCGGTATGTTTTCGCTATCTATATTATAATTGTGTTCGAGGCTACTTTAATTCTCAATATTATTTAAATTATTTATTTTTAAAAATGATTTGCAATTTCTTGTTATACAAATCCAACCATTTGATATTTTCCGATAGTTCTTTTTGGAATCTGTATTTAAAACGATTAATCACAAAGGGTTTTTTTTATTTTTTTTTACTTAACAACACTTCCATTAGTATTTCCATTTTAACGCACGTGCTTATATTTCAATATATATACGTGTGACTAGGTTAGTTGTCACAAAATTGACGAGAAATAAACGTACATAATCAATTTACTAGATATAAAATTATATTTATAAACTTTCCCGGACATCGTAAAACCTAATAAAATATGGTTATCGATTTTTACATATTTTATAATAGTTATATACCGGAAAGTAATTTTTTCGAAAACCAATTCGTAAACTTTTTTTGACCCAAGAACTATTTCCATATTATTTTTAAGGGCATACGAATTGCCACATAAAAAAATAAACATAAATTTAAGTATTCAAATTGCATGCCACCTCTTACAGGAATCTATCCGAACTGTACGCCGTATATAATTTTACTTATAATGTATAATATATATTTTATTATATATTGGAGTCGGTTCTAAATTTATACAAGTGGGAAGAAAAATGTAAAATGTAATATTATTAAATATATACTATAATATATTAAGATAGAAAAATTATATATGGAATGCAATTTCGACAGGATTTTGAATTTTTTTTTTGGTATACAATTTGGATGTAGTTACGCAATTTATGAATTTGTAGAATTTCGTTCAAAAGATATTAATGCTAATAATTACATAGGTACAACGATACGTTAATGCAATTATATATAAGAATGAACATGATTTACTTGATGTGTTATAAAGATGAATCCCAAAATAGTGTAAAAACATGCTTTTATAATACCGCTTGCTCTTAAAAGTATTGGAGTGTAGTACAACAACAACGAGAATATTAAACCATGCAGCAACCTGAAAATATATTACAATAGTTTTTAAGTTGTAATTAAATATTCGATTTGATGTTTATAATACTAGCATTTATGATTTTTCCAATACTACGTCTTAAAGCGTTTATGAATTTATTATGATTTATTAATAAATATAAATAATAAATTATTATTAATATTATTTTTTAATTTAAATCTAAAATCGTATTATTTATAAACACATATTATGTGGAAAATACCTGTATGGTACACACTGCATGTAGACATCCATTGATTTCACTGAATTTGTTATTTTAGTTATAGCTATAGGAACTATTAATTTTACTAAAAATACCAATATGCCAATTATAACAATATTGTTTTCAGATACTCCAGCTTCCATGAATTCCATAGTTGTCACTGTGTCGATAGTGGCGAATCCTAACTACATGAAGTCGTAATTAGTTTTTTAGAATCAATCATTAGGTATACAAAAATATTAACTGTGTAGGTATATAAATTATATTATATAATATGTACTACTCATTTATTGATTTATGCCTAATGAATAATGATAATTATAGAAATATTAAAGTTCAGTATATTATAGTTAAAACTTAAGTTTAAGTTCACGTGCTTACATGAATAAATAATTTAACGGAACTATATAGGTAGGTAGGTACCTACTTTGATTGCTACGAACATTTTTTTCAAAAATGTTATGCTAAAACTATCAAATTATAAACACATTAATCCACTTTATGTATCATCTACACAAGAAGTAAGTATATAGAAATAATGAGTTGAAATTGTAAAAATTTTATATAATCAATACAAATATATAATTTAGTTAATTGA